TATATATATATATATATATATATATATATATATATATATATATATATATATATATATATATATATATATATATATATATATATATATATATATATATATATATATATATATATATATATAATTACATAATAATGTATTATTGTTACATAATAAAAATTATTTCGAAAATTTTCTTTTGGAGTAAATTGAATATCTTCTTCTCCTTCATAGCTAAATTGTTTTCGGTGGCGTCGGCGACGTACGAAATTTCAGCAGGGAAATCCGGTTCTATTTCAACTGCTTTACAAATTTCATTAGAAATATTCAAATTACTTTCAAAACATTTATCATTTCTAATGCTTTTGAAAAACTTCAAAACTTCCATAATTGATTCAGCACATGAACTGATATTAAAAGAAACTTTCTGTATCATTTTACTAATGACATCTACCTTTTCCAAGATTTCGTACCATATTGTTATTGAACGTATAAATTTATGATTTAATTTTCATTGTCAAACATTCAGCCTCATGTTGAACTGTTGGCGTTGAACATTCTTCAGCTATTTTTATAAGACTGTCGTAAATTTCCCCTAATTCATGTCGCAGTAGTCTAATCGCTTTAATTCTTGCTTCTCACCGAATTTCACTAACTTGTTTCACTGTTAAAGATTTTACATTTTTCTTTAAAACTTGCCATCTAAATGGGGAACCACAGAAGAAATTATATATTGCTGATACAGTACTAAAAAAATTCACCGTTGAAAACGAAACTTTAGCTGCATGATTAACCGCCAAATTTAATTCATGCGCGTAGAAAGGCATAAACAAAGCTCGTGGATAATTGTTCAAAATTCTTTTTTGCAATCCAAAATGTTTTCCGGACAAATTAGACTCATTGTCGTATTCCTGGCCCCTCATAACGTTAATATGTAGTTCAAGATTTAATTTTTGAATTAAGAAATCATAAAAAGATTCTCCACTTTTTTCAGCTTGATAAAAACCAATGAAATTTTCTCTTTTTAAATTTTTTAGTATGTACATATCTGAAATTCATTGTAATTTGCTCGTCCAGCATCCCACGTACAGTCTAAAATGACTGAAAATTATTTTGCTTCTTTTATTGATATTAGTATACATTTTTGAATTTGATTTTCAAGGATAGTGATTATTTCATTTTGAAAGCGATTTCCCAGGTAATGTGGCATGCGGTTCTTTAAAGCGATTGATTTTTGTACGTGTTTTATGTGGTCTGCCATTATATCATCTAATTTTCCTATCATTTCAATTGCTTTTTAAAAATTTTCATTATTTTTTTCGTACAATTTGCTGGAAAAACCTCTAAAAGCTAAACACTATCCTGCTAGAAATTGTACCACCGATATCATGCGTGTCACAATTTGACGTTTTTTCTAAGCATCATAATACCGTTGCATATTATTATCAATTGTAGTTTTTCTTTTTAAATTTAATTCCAATTCTTTCCAACTAGTGCAGTTTTTGATGTGCATCTATGTTTTGTCGTGAAAAAATAAGTTTTCAGATTTTGTGGCCAATCGTTGAAGCCTTCATTAAATAATTTCTTGTTTGCCAAATAATTAACAACAGAAACAAAATATAGCATTATTTTTCGGAGAATAGATTATCCACTCTCGTTTAAATTTTTCACCATTTGACATTTTTCTCTAGAAATAAACCTTTGAAAAAGAACTTCCCAATTTATTTTCTGGACATGTAGATTGTATATTTTGAATAGGACCTTTTTTGAATCAAATATCCACCATTTTATTGGTAAGCGTTAAAAATCAGCAAGTTGTATCATTTAGTTGATACAACGAGACACATAGCAGAATATGCTTCAACAAATAAAGAGGTTTTTGAAAATTTTTAATATTCTACCAAACACTCTTACAACCTGGAAAAATAATACAGATAAAATCTTTGACGCTTTTTGTCACGGAAATTTGACTAAACAGGTGAAAGTTGATTCGTATTACCTAGTAAACAAAGCTTTACTTAAATGGTTCAAACGAATGAGAGCTGATAATGTACCAATTAGTGGCTTGCTGGTAAAATAAAATGCTTTATATTTTGCAATAGAGTTATGCTTCAAAAATTTTCAAGCTTCTTAAGGATGGCTAGACTAATTTAAGAAAAAGCAAACTAATTTGGAAATAGTTTGACAAAGGCTCTTAAAGATATAAATTGTGTCTTTGACATGAATTTACTAGCTCATAAAATACAATCTACAATTACTAACTTTTTTTTTTCAAATTTAAAAGTTCAAATCACATAATATATATTGCTTTTAGGCCTAAGAATTACTATATGTTTATTTTTTTGATTTCTTTTCGTTACTTTGAAAAAAGTATTTGGAACTTTCTAAAGGAAAAAGTCGGTTAGCGCCGGACGGCCGGTAACTCCGGACACTTGATGTACAGCTTAAACTTAAGAAACTATGTGACTTTTAATACTTGAATAACATTATTTGTGTGAAAATTTGGCATATGCAAAATATCTATCATAAAATGCCGAAGCGAATGACTGGGAGGGCAAGATTTTGTTTCCCACCACCAGAAGAACGTTGTATCATCATATTTGATTCACATATTGATATACCTAATTTTTATGTAAATAATAACTTTTTAATGATTAAAGGTATATTTTTATTTTCAATAGCTATTCAAAAAAAAAATTCGTTAAAAAGTTTAATTTACTGGTTTTAAAACTAGTATTTTTGAATGAGGTATGATCGGGTGGTATCGGACATATGTTTGGAGGGTGGCTGCGGACAACTTAATTCGTTTACATATTAATAATAAATAACTTTTTTTATATAAATATTAATACACTTAATATAATACACAAACCTATAAAAGTATATCATTTAATTCCAATAAAAAACATTAGATTTGAAAAAAGTGTTTTAAAAGTGTTTATTTTCATTATAAAAAGGCTTATGTTTATATTTTTAAATGATGACATTTTCATTCTCATTCCTTATATATCAGAGAAAATTTTTAAAAGCAATTTTTTTTTAAATGTGTCGAGAATAGTCCAATGTTAAGTTATTATATTTTACATTTGTGTCATACTGGTAAAAAAGAGGTAAAATCATGGTTAAACTATGTGTCCGGGGCTACCCTCCAATTTTGAAACATGCCTTTTTTCTAACATTTTTTCTTTTGTGTTTTGTATATTATTAAGATAACAATAATTATTTTTTTGTTTCTAATTTGATAGATGAATGTTTGAACTTTGAACTTCGATAGATGAATGTTTGAACTTTTAAAAAAGTCTTTTGATACTTTTTTTTCTGTTAGCACATGTGCACAATCTATATTTTCCTTAAGTGTCCGGGGCTACCCGACTCTCCCCTAATTCGAAAATCTCTCTAGTTCAAACTTTTATTTTTGCCTATTTACTTTTTAATGATTCACACTACACACACAAAATATACAGAAATGAGCATGTGAAGTAAAATTAAAGAAATAGTATAGTATTAGCATTGAGTTTACACATATAAATTCAATGGTATTAGTGTGTGTAACACATTCGCTGCAACTGGCTTACATAGAGTGGCGCCGACGCCGCCCCGGCAGCTTTCTTAGTGGCATGTGCGCAAAAAAAAAATAAACAGTTTAATCAACGTAAAGAAAAAAGTTAATATCAGCAAGAAAGTGGTGATACTGATATTATACGTAACGCATAAAAAAACATTCCTGTATATAAAAAAAATACAAAATTTAATATAATATGAGTTTTTATTTTACAGTTTTATACTAAATTTTTACATTTTACGGCACTGAATGGGTATATGTGATGTTTCTTATAGTTTTTGGCCGCCTTTTAATTCGGCCGCCTGCGTGCGATACACGCAATGAACGCCGGTCAGGAACGGCCCTGGTTTCAATTGTTAGCTTTGCATAATGACAGCTTGCGCCATCAGTCCATAAAATATATTTTATATTTTTGTGATGCGAATTGATAAAGAGAACAAGTTGCTTTTCAATGTATTCTTTAGAACGTACTTTTGCATCAATGGCATTATTTTTAATTGCAAAGAAAGGCTTTGATTTACCAAATCTACTAATTGCAATCCATACTAAAACTTTCGCTTGAAACTTTGATTTAAACTTATATTTAATAATATTTTCAGTTCTTTATCTTGAGTATAAAAGCCATTATTTCCTGGTGTCTTTTGGGTGCTTAATGTAAAATAGGACTCGTCATCCATGATAATTTCAAACTCATTTGACGGTCGGAAAAAAGTTTTGGAAAGTTTTAACAATTTAATAGCTTTCTGGTGCTTTCTTTTAAAATATACTATGCCCATGCATCTTAAAAATTTTATAAACATAATTTCTATGAATTCCATATTTTAATGCAAGTTTTCTCTGGGAGATCCCAACTTCATTTTCAGCCTTGTTAATGAATGAAGTAATTTTTCTAATGTCCATTTTGTATTATTTTCTGTCGCTTCCTGACTTCCTTTTATTGTCGTTAACTCTTTTAATAATATTATAAATCGTTCGCTTTGCAACTTTCATTTGCATAAAATAATGCACTGTAAATATTTTCCCTTCGTCTATGTTATCTAAATAGAAGTTTCCAATAAGCTTTCGTTTGTCGTTTTCTTTAATTTCATCCAATTTATTTATATAATTTTTTATTGCTAAAATTAGTATCAGATTATAAAATAAGAATGTCTAGCGAATATATTTAACTTCGAACTGCAGAAATATTCGAATTTGTTTGCGAGTTTCGAACGTTTAAATTTTGTGCAAATTCTTAGTAGCCTCGTGTTATAATAAAAATTATAAAGTAATATTCTATGGTGTTTTTCTGCATCTAATGAAAATTATAAAATAATGTTCCATGGTGCTTTACTGCGTTTAACGAAAATTATATGGTAATGTTCAATGGTGCTTTACTGCATATAATGAAAATTATAAAGTAATGTTCTACAGTGTTTCACTGCATTTAATAAAAATTATAAAGTAATCTTCTACGGCGTTTTAGTTTAAAGGCAATTTCAAACTACATGACAACACAACATGCTGGAAATGGGAACACACATTTACCATTTTAACGAAAGTGAATTCTTACACCTTATACACAACCAGAAGTGCTACACCAAAACCGTTGCTCTATGAGATGATGGGGTACGATACACTGCTTACCTCTTACTATGATAAGTACATACTTGTCTATAATTCTTTTAATGAATGGAAATTCGACTTTGAAATCTTTGAGATTCCAACAGGTATTGTTACTTTGTTTACTTAAAACAAAAATTTTTTGTTGAAATACTTTTGGTCTCAGTACAAAAGTTTTTATTAAATGACAACTACATACTTATAACTTGATACGAAATATCAAAATACTTTAAGGATTTATTTGAAGAAAAAAAAAGAATTTGATATTTATATTGTGTAAAAGAACAAATAGAAATAAATTTAAAAAATTAGTTATGTAGTTATGGAGAACTCGAAGAAAACTGGGTAAAGTCTTGTCATTAAGAAACTTTATTATTGGCTTCATAAAAAATTCATAATGTTTTTGATTCATGAACTGTTATATTTTTCAATTTTTAAAATTGATAGATGATGTTTTTCAGAGCTTCATTGTTTTGAAATTGAAAGTACGGACGCAAAAGAAACTAGTGTTACATCTTTTAATCCTATGTATGAATTCATCTCAAGTCACCAAAATGAACCTCAAGATTCAACAAATCAACCATCAATCATCAATCATCAACCATCAATCAATATGTCAAAGACTGATCACCATCAAACAAATAAAACGCACTTTGAGTTTGTCGTCGAAATTTTGTTTAGTCAGTTTAAGAATAGTTTTAGCAAAGACTATTCAAACCATACAGAACACGTAAAAAGAAAGGACATTTTTAGACATAATGTGAGGTAACAGTATTTAAAAAAAAATAAAAATAAAAATAATTTTATGGATTTTAAATATATAAATATATGGATTTTAAATAACTTAATTAAATAATATTTTTTGTAAAATTAATATTTTATATGCAAAAAGTTAATTTTTATTACAGCTTTTAAAACAATTTTTTAATTTAGATTTATAAACACTATCAATCGTCAGCACTTACCTTACAAACTCCACGTTAACCATTTTGCCGATGTCACAGATAATGAAATGCAACGTTACAAAGGACTGTTAAATGAATCGTATAATGACATAAATGCAAAAAAGTTTGAACCTCCAAACATTGATTTTTCGGTAACCCCTATTCCAAGAAAACTTGATTGGAGAGAATACGGTATGACATTTATTTGATCGGAAAGTTAATGCTTAAGTTAAGAAATCCCTTTAAAAATTTCTAAAAAAAACTTTCTAGTCATCATTTTTTTTTTTAAATTTAAAAATATTTAGAACATTTTTCCAAAAAATAAGATCAGAAAATAAGGTTTGAATCACTTTTACTAAACTCCTAAAACTATTTTGATAATTTGAGTTAAATAAATTTTAATAGCAACTTTTATTGCAATATTTTGTTTAATTATAAAAAACACTTCTTTCAAAAGTTATTTGTAAAGTGGATTTTTTAACTCATGGCCGATGCCAGATGGAGGACTTTTTATAGAAATTGACGATTGCGATACCCCTTCCCTTTTACCTGGAAACCAGTGTCGTCGGCCCTGTAACTTGTACTATCGTTTTTTTAGTTTTTAAACGTGTATTTTGATAGTTGATGACTTTTTGTCATCAATTGTCAAAATGTTCAAAAAATTCCAAAACGTTGTCAAAGTGTTCAAAAAATTCCAAAACGTTGAAGAGAAGTTGTCTGTTTTTATGCAATACTTGATTTCCATACAAAATATTGATCTCATTAAAATCTACAACACTTTATGCATGGGTAAACAGAAAAAATATTATTTTTAAAGACTTATTGATAAAATTGTTAATATTAACTAATTTTAAGCATTATTAAACACTGATTGCTCTAAATGTATAATAAATACATTGCAAGATTGCAAATATGTGCAAATATGATGGACGAGCAAAAAAAAATTATTTTAAACGGAAAGGTTTACAGTAATCATATTATAAATAAAACTTTTTGCAGGAATCAACTATTAAAAGATTTTATTCCATTTAAATACGCGTTGGCTTTGATTGCAAACTGCAATCATTTTGCAAAGCATTTGATTGCAAACTTAAAATTTTTATTTTAAGCTATTTTAGTTTTTTTTTATGATCCATATAGTGAAGGTACCTATTTTTTAATATTTATGTTTCATTAGCTCGAAATGTTTCATATTTTAATAATTAAAAAATCAAACATCGCGATGAAAATGACAAACTAACACGCGATGTTTCATTTTGTAATAATTAAAAAATGAAACATCGCGAGTTAATTAGTCAAATTTTAATCGGTTTTTACACAACCACAAATGATTACTTTTATATGAGAAAAAAAAACAAATTCAAACATTATTGCATTTTTTAGGATTTACTTCTTTTAATAAATCCAAGAAAATTACTAACATCCAAAAAAAAATTCAAAAAATGTTGAAACTGTTTGTAAGCATTTCAACAATAGAAAATTTGAATGGTTCACTACTCTTTAATCAAGTGAGTAATGTAAAAAATATAACAATCAAAAAGTCGACGGAATGGAAAAATTTGAAAAAAGTTGAAAATCTTTGTAAAAGCTTTTAGAAATATTCTGAAACTGTAATTATATGTAATTATATGTTTTCTATCCCACCTCATGATGTTAATATTGAACGTATTTTTCTCCAATAAATGTACAATAAACGGATGAACAAAATCGACTAGACAATCCCACCGTAGAATCCATATTAGAAATGCTAATGTATTTTTTCCTTCTTTTTATCATTCTTATTTTGTGAAACATGGTTACTCTAATCATTACGAAGTTATTTATTTCGATTGATACTAGTTTTATGTAATGAGTGTAGTTTGTTTTCAAAAGTAGTTTAACCATATTTAATTAGCTGCAGGTGTCATCAGACCTTTTTTCATAAAATGATTTACGTTAGAATCTAAAAATAAAAAATTCTTCGTTTTTCTGAATTCTTTCAAACTGCACATTTTAATTTGAGATTTTTAAACCTTAAAAAACCAGCAGCACCATCATCAAATTGTAAATTTGAAGATAAAATTCGGATCTCTAAACCTTTTTTTCAAACAAATGTTTTTTGAGTTTCCACAAAAGTTCAAAAAATTAATGCTGTTTTGGATTTGTTCGTGTTTTGAAACTATTAAATAAAGTTTAGAAAACCATCAGTTGAACGATCAAAAAAAGTTTGGAGAAGAACAACTAGTCAAGGGTTCAATGGTGGTTGTGGTTCAATGGTGGTGGTGGTTTGTATTTGTTTTGATTACTAATTTACCTCCTACTAGCATCATTTATTTTATATTGTAAGCAGAATTGTGTTGAGTCGATTAACTTTCTTATTATTATGAAATTAATCTGCTTAAATAGATTTAATTATTGGATATAATTGTTATTGTTAATTATTGGATATAAATGTTATTGTTAATTATTGGGTATAAAAATTATTGTTAATTATTGGGTAAAAAAATTATTGTTAATTATTGGGTCAAAAAATTATTGTTAATTATTGGGTATAAAAATTATTGTTAATTAATGGGTATAAAAGTTATTGTTAATTATTCAGTATAAAAATTATTGTTATTTATTGGGTATGAAAATTATTGATAATTATTGGGTAAAAAAATTATTGTTAATTATTGGGTAAAAAAAATTATTGTTAATTATTGGGTATAAAAATTATTGTTAATTATTGGGTATCAAAATTATTGTTACTTATTGGGTATAAAAATCTATTGTTACTCCATATAATTTTGAAGTTTATTTATAACTTTATTTCTCAATACCTTTTTCTTGGCAATTTTCTTTTATTACTGATTGTTTTCTCTTCATAATTTATAGCCAACAACTTTTAAAAAACGGAACAGAAAAATTCAAATATTAGATATTTTAGATAAATAAACTTTAATTTCTCGGAAAATTTAAGTTTAGCAGTTCATTTTTTTAAAATATTTTGTATATTAGTAAAGATTTCCAGAAAGTTACAGGATTGCACTCTATCATAGACTCACAGAAATCTTTTAAATGCAGTTCATGTATGTCACACACGAATGGAAGTCACACACGAAAGTTGCAAATTAGTTGAATTCATTTAATTATTTTAATGAAAATAAATTGCTTGTAAGTATTTTGAGTGAAATATTGTATCACAATAACTCATATTTAATATACTTTCAACGAGAAATAGCAGCCATTAAGTATTTCTAACTAGAGTATAGCGTTTAAAAAATCATTGTATATTTTTCAAACTATTGACACATTACCCACACACAAAAAATACATAAAGTGATAAAATATATATATTTAAATATTCAGGTAGCCTAACAAATAATAAAAATATTTTTGTTATAATTGTTATTTAAAATACTCATATTGCAATAATAATTGTATGCATATTGCTTTAAGTTCCAACTTCTAATTGTAAAAACAAAAAAACAAAAATAAAACAATCACGCACAGAAATGAAAATTCCCTTTTGCTTCAAAACACATTTCAATTATTATTTTCTTGTCACATGGTTTAACATAATATATATTTTTGTGTGTCTTTTTTAAAACAGGTGCGGTAACAGATGTTAGAAGTCAAGGAATATGTGGGTCTTGTTATGCATATGCAGTGACAGGGGCGATTGAAGGAGCACTGTACTTAAAAGTCTGTTTAAAGTTATATTAAAAGTAAGCCTACAATTTTTTAGTGTTAAAAAGTGTATTATTTACATTTTTATAATTTAGACAGGAGATTTGGTTGATTTGTCAGAGCAGCAAATTATTGACTGTTCATGGGGTTTTGGTAACAAAGGTTGTAAAGGAGGTTATCCTTATCGAGCCATTCAATGGATCATGAAACATGGTGGAATTTCTACGCAAGAAAGTTATGGAAAATATCTTGCTCAGGTATTTAGTATTAATTTTAGTCTTTTAGAGGTTTTCAGTTAAAGTTATTTTATTTCAGGTTTTTTTAAACTCTCTAGTAATTTTCAAAAAAAAGAAACTGTTAAAACAAATTTAACAATTTTTTTTTTTTTCAAAAACCAAATGATTGTATATAAAAATGATGATAAGCACAGTGAAACAACCTTAGCAGATGTTAACTTTTCCAATTGATTGTATATATGGTTTCCACGAGAGGTCAGTAGTAAATGATAATCCAAAATGACGTAAAGTAGAGGACTCAGTTAGATTGTTGTTTTTCATCAGTATAAAAACTTAATTTTGCAATAATTATTAGAAGTTAATATCTTTTGTTTGTCTTAATTGAGATCATATTTAAGATTGGCTGCCTAATTTAAGCAACCGATTAGTGATGACCTGTTGTCAAGGCCTTCGTAGATCTCCGAGCAACTAGTTTAAACACTTTTTGCCGTATTTTTTCCTTCTTTTTATCATTCTCATTTTTAGGTTTTGAATTTTCAAAGCATGTTTACTTTAATCATTACAAAGATGTTTAGGTAGGATTTGTACTAGTTTTATGTATTGAGTATAGTTTGTTTTTAAAGGTAGTTTAACCATGTTTTATCAGCTGCAGGTGTCGTCAGTAATTTTTTCATAAAATGATTTACATTAGAATCTGAAAATAGTAATGCTTTTTCCATATAAATAATGCGTATATCCTGAAAACTAGTTTGAATATGAAAATAAGCTTTTCAAAGCAAAAGCTAAAAAAAATCTGACTTAAACCTGTCTTAGAGATCTTGGTTGAGTAAAAATTGGAAATGAATTCTAAATAAAAATATTCATTTTGGTCAAATGTTAACTATATCCAGCTGCTGTCTTTGGTTTTGCCAAAATGGTAATGGTTATGCATCAATCATTCTCACCAAATTGTTTCAGTTTACCCTTTACAAATATTTGTGGCCTTTCTTTTTTTTTTTTCAATGAATCTTATATTTTGAAAATATCACCAAACCTTGCTCTTGGCAAAACTGTTTCATCTTCTGATTTTAGTGTTGATGAAGCTTATCTTTTAATTCACAAAGAATCCTATTGTCACTTGCTCGACCAGGGCATATACTTACTTATCGACTCACCTACTTGTTTGAAATTAGGTTTGAATCCTCATTATACTTTTATGTGCTTTTGCTTAGCAAGCAGAAACAGTTAGGGAAGGGTTAATTATATATCAAGTGCAAGTATTAAAAGTCTTTAATATCACCTTTTTTCTTCAATTGCTTCATATGAAACCAGTAGTTACATCCAACTTTAAACAATCAAGATGTTTCCGTAAAATATCTGATCTGCAAGATAAACAATTATATTGGTTAAAGGAAAAACATCAAAAGCCTTACTGTGGATTGCAAGTAATCTTTTAAAATTTATTTTATATGATTTAATATAATATCATTACGGTATATTATCGAATACTAACTTTAGCTTTTATTTGCAGACTTGTGAAATCTCAAGTTCTTGAATGTTATTTTTAAGCGAAGACTTTGCTCAATGCTGGCTATTGCAAGGACATTTAGACAATAAAATATTTCTCAAGAAAATAGAAGAAAAAGAGCACTACTAACAGCTTTTAATTTTACTTTTACTTATTAAGTTGAGAACGTTATAACTTTAAGTGAAAAAAAACATGTTTTTTAGGAAATTTATGAGTTTAAAGTTTAAACACTTTTTAAAAAAAAGTAAAAGTTTTAAAAATTCCAGTTTTTTTGATCTATTATCATGTCCAAATTAAGGACATGATTATAAATTAAGCGCTATTAATTTAAAATTTTAACCCCTTTTTACTTCCTCTCCCCTATCCTTGTAATTGGCATGCAAAAGTAAAGCACAGCTTTCAAATACGAAGAGAGTCTTCAAATATTTCAATACAGGAATACAAAAAAAGACTCCGCATATTTAAATTGACGATATTAAAAGAGAAACATCATTAGTGTAAATGATTCAATTTTTTAAATTTGGTAAAAGCTTTGACAAAATTGATTGGTATCATCCTAATGAAAAAGTGACCAGAGACATATATCTCACAGACACGAGGAAGTAATCAAAAGATATTGCAAATAGATGTTTCAAGCTCTGTAAAAGTCAATTTCTTTAATAAACAAACAATTAGGTCATGAAGCAAAAATCTTAGGAAGCAGGTAATACATGTCAAATTTTTTAAAAACTTATTTAGTATTTTTACGGTTATGTTAAAGTCTAACATATGTATGTAGATTTAAATATTAAGAATTGCCTCCTCAGTCATCTCATCCTTGGTCATCAGTTCTCTGATTGAAAGAAAACAATTATTTAAAAAAAACTTCAAATTCGATCAATACTTATAGTTAGATTTCAAATTTCATCAAAATTTTGTAGCTAAAAAGATACATTATAAAGTTTAGAACTCATTTTTTGAACGTTTTAATAATGAAATCATTTAAAAAAACAAACCATAAAAATAAAAAAAATATTGTTAACAAAATTTTTTTTTTTGTTAGCAATATTTATGTCATCCTACTGGAGAGGTGGTTTAAAAAAACCTAAACTAAAAATAGCTTCAATAAAAACTTTTTAAAAGTTTTTTAAAAATTTATAAGTTTTAAATCAATCAATTGAACTCATTAACTGCTTTAAAAAAATTTTTAAGGAAGGTTATTGCCACTTTAAAAATACAACGATAGGAGCAGTAATATCAAACTACTATAATATCACTAGTGGAAATGTTACTGAAGTTAAAATGGCGCTGGCTTTATATGGACCAGTTACCGTTTTGATAAATACGCAACCCAGATCTTTTAAGTTTTATAATAAAGGAGTTTACTTTGATGAAGATTGCGGTAAGTTTTTTTTTTAAACAATCATGTTAAAATTAGAATCTTAACCCTTTAACAATCCCTATTTTTTTAAATTACAGTTGTATTAATCCAGCTTTTTTTTTTTTTTTTTTTGAAGTGGTCTCCAAATGTCCCGTGTTTTTGTATCGTGTTTTTTAAGAAATTAAAAAAAGATTTTTACAATTTTCAACACTATTAAACACTACAAAATGTTATTATTCAAGTTTAAGAATATGTAATCATACTATGTAAACACAAATTTTTAAAAATATATTCACTTATATTCACTTTTTGTATGATAATTGGAAATGCGTGTAGCTGCTCAAAGTCATACATCACATTCTACACATTCATATCTTAAGTCTTTTTGAATTTTGTGTTTGTAACATACCACACACCTTCTCTGACCATTAATCTCCAGATTGTTTGCCAACAATTTAGAGCGAGATTTTCTGGCTGTTGGCCATATAGTTGAATCATTGATGTAGTTAACATCAATGATTCAACGATAAAACCAATCACATTGGCAAACAACCCCTAACAATTAATTGACCGGCATTTTCCTGTCAGCTGTCACCCTATGTGTCAGCATCTGAAAAAAAATATTATTGCTCAGAGAAAGTGTTATAAGTGTTATAAGTGGTATGTTACAAATATAAAAAGATTCAATATATGAATGTGTAGAATGTAATGCATGACTTTGTGCAGCTAGACACATCGCTAATTATTAATTATCGTATTCTAAAGTTTAAAGGTACTATTACAACCTATTTTTAACAAGTTATTTGAGCATTGAAGGCTGCTTGATTAATAAAATGAGTAAATACGTTTTTGTACCACTTCTTCACTCTTTCTTTCAACTTCATACGATTTCATCATTTGGTCACTTTTATGAACGCCTTCCGTATTTTGATTGTAATCATCGATAACTAAAGGAACCTGCTTTTTTTTTTCCAGCTCTTAAAACATTTCTAGTCCCATCATTAATATAAGTTGGCATGGTATATACATCTTTTTCATCTTTCCAATGTGATTATATTTATTTTTTCTTCGTATAAAACTATATTTTCATTATTTCTTTTCAACTTTGTTTTGATAGAAACAGGTAAACCTTTACGGTCTTTGCATATTGTTCCTATCTGTAGATTTTAACAATAAAACTGATAAAAGCTCATAAGAAGAATATCAGTTGTCAATGTATAGTTTGTAGCCATGGTCAAGTAAGCCATCCGTAAGTAACACTACAGCTTTTGTTGCAACAAAGCGATAACACTATGTAACAAATTTTCACTTTTGTTTTTTTCCTTTGTTGAAAGTGTGTTATTTTAAACCGTTAGGTCTATAACAGGAACGAAATTGCTGTTATTCCAGAAAAAATTTTGCATCTGTGACCGGGACAATGAAATTTAGAAAATCATGTGTAAGAGAAAATTATCGTTTTGGTTTAAATGCCGAGCTTCCTCTCTGAACTGCTAGAATTTATCCACATGTTTCTACAAATCTCCGGAACACTCTAGAACGTTTAAGAAACTTCTAGAACTTTCGAGAAACTCTTAGAACTTTCTAGAACGTTCTAAAACGTTCCAAAAGTAGCTGTACTAATATAAAAGCACAAGTGTCTTGAACGTGTTATTACAGATTGAAAAGAAAACGTTTCGTTGTTATAGAGAAGTTATTTCTTTGATATAGCATCTAGAGTTTGTTTGCATTCAGCTAATAGAAATTGGACAATTCATAAAAACAAGAGCAAAAAAGTATTCAGTGAAAGCGTATAATATGCGAGGCCTACAAGGCATACTTATGCCTTGTAGGCCTCAAATTTAGACATGTTTTGGGCACCGCATTTCACATGCGAATATTGCAAGAAAATACTAAAAGGTAAACTCAACAGTTTCTTTTTGCTTAGATGTTTTTTAATTTATTTTCATGAAATTTCAATGCTTTAGGTCAAGTTAATTTCAATAAGTTGTAATTTACAAAGTTTTGTGATCAGTCGTGTACTGTAAACAAATACGTTCCATCTTGAAATTGTTCCATATATTTAAATTCCATTTTGATGTATTATTATGTGCTATATTACAGGCTATGTTCTCCTGAAAATGGCTGATGCCTAGGCGGCATCGTCCATATTTAGGAGACAGCAGCAAGTCAGATTGCAAGACAGATACTGGAGATATGGACTACAATTCCGCAGTGAAGTTAGGAATAGAAACTGCAATTTTTCTTTGCTCTTGACAAAGAGCCAGCAGTATTTCAATACCTTCAAGATATTTTTCCGAAGCTGCCTGAGCCTAAGGTCAGGGCTGGTATATTTGTCGGACCACAGATAAAGAAGGTCGTAGAATGTGAGGATTTTGCAAAGCTGTTTAACAGGACGAAGAGAGCAGCTTGAAGCAGTTTTGTTGTAGCTGTTCAGGGCTTCCTAGGTAATCATCAACTAAAAAATATGTAAAGTTGGTGCAGATTCTTATAAAGAATTACTCCACAATGGGATGCGGAATATCTCTGAAAGATTCACGTCTTGACTAATTCAAGGAGATCATGAGCGCTTACTTGGAGGGGCAAGGTGAGCGCTTTCATCAAAATATATTGAATTTTGAACGTCGTTACCAAGAATATTATAACGAAAACACCCACTGGGCACCGGACCAAAAAAAGACGTCTTTTAAACGTTCAAAAGATGTTTAAAAGACGTCTTTTTTACGTCCGTGTTCACTGGGCATGATGGGGGACTATATTTGGGGACTACTTCAAGAAAGTGATTCACAGTGCAATCGTAAATTTAGAAAATCTACACATTTTCAAACCTTTTTGAGTGGTTTCCGACTGTGTTTGCCTATTCCTTGTGAAATTTTTGTTTTTACCAGGTCATAATGCAAAGTTTGTGCTTGATGAAATCATTTTTTCACGTACTTTAGACATAAGCAATAAAAAAATATAACACCTAGAGGCGAGGATTAAAAATTGTGCTATTTTGGGCTTCTAAAGTACTCCTTGATATAAAAAAATTGCAATATACTCTCTACATGATCTCTGCAACTCTTACAGGTAACTAGAGCCACATTCTTAGATTCGCTAATAATTTTTTTTTATTTGTAATTTGGGAAGCTAATCGATTGGTCTCATTTACAATAAACTCGCAAATTTCGGCAAACGTGTATTTTAGGCACGCCCTTTAGTAAGTCACTAGAACTTAGAGCATCGACCATTTTCTCTTCTAAACCTAATTCTAACAATTCTGTTTCTGAATTTTCTCCATATGAAACATCAGATAAACTACATTCTTCTCATGAAACCTCACTCAACTCTTCGCTTTCATTAAATAAAATTTTCTATCTCTTCTTAAGTAAATAATCTCTTTTTTGATAATGATTTTTGCACTAAAAGAACTTCTTTACCTGCCATATTTAAAATAAAAGTAAACACGTGTAAAAGTGAATTCTTAAAACAAAAGCTCTGTAATTATGTAGTAATAAATTTTGTGACGATTAGACTTATTATTACTGATAGACAAGAGGGAAATGCGAGGAGCTGCATAAAACCGTTATATTATGGCATCGACATTTGGAAACCACTTTAAGTTTGCGTAATAATATGGCATGAACTGTTAAAGGGTTAATCTTTGGAAGTAAAATTCCAACTCCATCTTAAAGTATCTTAATTGAGCCAATTATCACGGCGATCTGTAGTTGGAAGAATCCTGAAGTTTGAAATATTTTCACAATATATTTCGCAATTACACACGCTCTAAATTCAGCAATATTGCGCAAAACGTTATAAATAATTCTAACGTTTTAACATTTGCTTTAAACTGAGATTTGAAACGAAAAAAAAAACACGTTAACTTTGGGAAGTTTTTTTACCAAAGTTTTTCTATTCCATTATATGTTTAAATAGTAAAATAAGTTTAAATTTAAGAGTTTAAATGAAAAAAACGTTAACTAACTTTTTTTATTTCAGTAATAATTTTATTATTGTAGTAAAAATCGGGGTGTAGTGATAAGGCAAATATTGTCTTCTTTTAGCCCCGGTCATGTAGATTTTATTTATATAACACGGCATTGTATTCTTTTTTTTAATGACAAATAAAAAATAAAAAAAAAAAGTTTCTCGCCTAAAACGTTAATTTTGGGAAATTTTTTCACCAAAGTTTTACTATTTGTATCCATTCTATGTTTATATAATGAAATGAGTTTAAATTTATAAGTTCAAATGACAAAAATGTTTGCAAACATTCTTTTTTATTGCAATAATAATTTTATTACTGTAGTTAAAATTTTTCTCGCCTGAAGGATAGCAAAGAACAGAAATAAGATTAAACACGTGTGTTTAGATAAAATATATAAATAAATACTTTAATATAAGTTCACAGCAAAGACTTAGATTTTATCTAATGTTTAGAAGTTAAAATTATGTAATTTAAGCTAGAAATTGAAAATATATTCTGACGTAGCATAAAAATAAAATATCCCTACACAAAACAAAAATATCCTGGCAAAATACATAATTTCAATCCTCTGTAACTTGAAGTCAAATATTGAGATTTTTTTTAGCAACTTCTCACACTATTAGTTAAAAAATATTAAAAATTAAAAAATATAAAAAAGAAAACCATTTAAAAACATAATAAAGCTGCAAAAAAGTTTTTCTTTTTTTAGTAAGTAAAACAGAATTTTTTTAGTAAGTAAAACAGAAACTGCAAAAAACAGAAATCTATTTCCACTAACTTCTGTTAATTATCAAAAAACAGATCGCCGTGTTGTTTCTATAATGTTGTTTTTATGGGCGATTGTTAATATTTTTAAAATAAATTTTAACCTGTGCTTTCTAGACAGTAGACTAGATCATGCGGCTTTGCTAATTGGTTATGGAGAAGAAAACGGCGAAGATTATTGGTTAATAAAAAACTCTTGGTCTCCAAGTTGGGGAAATAATGGATTCATTAAAATTGCAACACGAAACGACAACTGCGGTGTGACTCAAAAAGCTGTTGTGTTGCAAATGGGAAAGCTTGATCAATAATAAGACTTTAATCTAGAACTTTTCTTTGGGTGATACAGTTATGTGACGGTGTATATATGATATACGTAATGTGACAGTGATATGGATGATATATATGGATAAAATATAGTTGTATTATTTTATATTAAATATGAAATGTTGATAAAAGTTATTGTTAATATCAAAATGCTTCCTTGCATTTATTTTTTACTTAAAATGTAAAATATTTTTTTATTGCAATATGAAATATATAAAAATACTTTTAAACTGTAAAATAATTTTTTATTACAATATAAAAGACAAAAAGTCTTTTCCTAGTAAACTCGTATTCCTTAATAGTATAACAGTAAAAATAATTAAAATAGTATAAGCAAAGACCATATCATAGAATAAAAAGGAGGGATGTTTTAAGGAACTAGATTGATAGTGTCATTTTTACATGGTTCACTTGTTTTTAATGCTGGTATTTTTCTACTCTATATACATACTTTGAGTTTTAAAACAAATTTGTAGGAGACAGAATCCAAAATCTTAGATGCAATTGTTACGAACAGTTTAACGGCCACATCTAAATGAAACTTTTAAACATAATAAATGTGCATTAAAACCAACATTGAAAGTCTTCTTTATACTGCTCTTGCATACAAATGAATACTTCGAATTACATTTCCAGCTCTTTTACATTCGGTAGTAGTGGCTGGAAGAACACAAAAAAGAGAAAGAAAAATGTAGATATTAAGATATTTTTTTAGCATACATTTCTTGAGAGCATTTGAGAATTTTTTCGCCACATAATTATTATTTCGTCAAGGTAACTAAGTTGGCAAGATCCTTTTTAAGATTTTAAGATTTTTTGTTGAGTTATTATATGATAATCCATCTTGCCCCATTCGCCTTGTTACCCAGCTTTCCCCTACTTGATGGCAACCAAAGAAAAAACAAAATGTTAGCTAACCGGTGTCAAAAAAAAAAAAAAGAGAAATTTATTCTTGTACAAGCATTTTGAAATTAACTCATTTCGTTTATTTAACAAATTATCACCTTTATATGTTAAAATAAGGAATTTTTCTAATAAGCAAAGAATGCAAATTTTTGACGAGGCGTTTTAAATATTGCAACGTTATACAATTTTCCACTTAATTAAGGGTGTAAACATTTTGTCTTTTTTGTCCCAAATTTCTTTATTCAACTCGGAATCATTTTTATATTTTTTAATGTTGAAATAATTTAGGTGATTAGCATACCAAGATTTGATTGGAGTTTCACATAAGGCAAAATATACTTTTTCTTTGTAGTCAGGTTTATTTAACGACACATTGGCTTGATAAACGATGTTCTTCGTCAAGCACTGATTGTTCATGGGGCAATTACAGTAAAATTAATAAAAGAAAAACACTTAAAATGTCCATGGATCATTAAAGGTATTAAAAATCCTCAAAAAAAAAACAAAACTTTATATTAAGTATAAAAACTTGTTTGAAAAAATCAAAAAAAAAAATTCAAAGAAAAACTATTACTCAAATAAAATAAAAAACACAAATGGTGATATTTAGAAAACTTGGGATATCATGAAGGAAATCATTGGGATAAAAACCTACAAAATAAATAGTTTATCTGCTCAAATTGTCATAGATAATAAAGAGTATGACAATAGTAATGCAATATCGTCGTCAATGTCTTTTCAGAGATACGCAAACCTATTTTCGAAATATTTAAACCATCAATTAAAACTGGAACTGTACCAGATAAATTAAAAGTAGCTAAAATTGTACTTGTTTTTAAAACCGGTGAAACATTTCTAATAAACAATTACAGACCAATCTCAATACTTCCAACTTTTACTAAAATACTCGAACGAATAATCATTAATAGATTATATGAATACCTAATTCAAAACAAATTCTTAAATAAAAAACAATTCGGCTTTCAAGCACAGCACTTAACAGAACATGCAATTTTATATTTAGTTAATAGGATAAGTGATTCTTTTAATAAAAAGCAATTTGTATTAGGAACTTTCATTGACCTATCCAAAGCATTTAACACAATTAATCATGATATCTTACTTAAAAAAATGGAAAAATACGGAATAATAAATACTAGCTACTAAATTGGTTTAAAGGTGCAACAGACAACATGTGTTATTTCAAACAATAATAAATATTCTAATTTACTAAAAATAAAATGCGGAGTTCCCCTAGGTTCCATTTTTGGTCCTCTTTTGTTTTTAATTTATATTAACGATCTTCAACAATCACTAAAAAAACTCGATGCAATAATGTTTGCTGATGACACAAATTTATTTTATTCATCAGCATCAATTGAAAATCTCTTTGAATCTGCGAACGATGACCTTGAGAGTCTAAACATTTGGTTTAAAGTAAATAAATTATCTTTAAATACAGAAAAAACAAAATACATCTTGTTTCATTCCAATCAGCAAAAAAATAAAATACCAAGCATGCTACCATTATTAAAAACTGATTACATAAACATCGAAAGAACTGAAACCATTGAATTTCTTGGGATAATTATTGACAAAACGATTTCTTGAAAGCCCATATAAAAACATTAAATAAAAAAAAAGCAAAAAATATCGGCATACTTTAAAAAAGAATTGCAGGAGAATCTAAAAATTATCTACTTTTCTTATATAAAAAGCTGTCTAACATATGCTAATATTGCCTGGGAAAGTACAAATAAATCTAAATTAAGTTCTCTATATATACACTAAAAACACGCATCAAGATTATTTTATAATAAAAATAGATTCACTCATGTCGATCCTTTACTTAAAAACTTGAATGCTTTAAAAATCTATCAAATTAATATCTACCAAAATATTTTATTTTTGCTCAAATATAAGCTCGGACTTGTCCCAACTCATTTTACTAATAACTTTTTTCAAACCAACGCCAACAGATATATCACACGAGGAACCGGAAACTTTAAACTACCTATAAAAAAAACAAAGTTTTTGAGATTTTCAATTGTATACCGTGGCCCTTATTTATACAACAAAATAATATCGCTAAATATATAAGTTACTAAAAAGAAAAAATTAAAAGATCTCATAATTAACAAAACCAATTTTATCGGTATGTATTAAATATAAAAGAACAATTTATATAATAAAATGTAAAAAGAACAATTTAAGCTATAAATATAAGTAAATAAATAAAAACATAAAAAAAAACATAAATTAAAATAAATAAATAAATGCATATAGTAGCAACTATACAAAGTAAAAATCAACAGAAAACCTCAAAAGTTAAAACACATTTATAGATTTACTTTTTGAATTTTTAGTTTATTTTGTATTTTAAAGGTTCTCGATGAAAAGACTTTTCTTAGTCTTCTGCAAGTTCCCTTACAACTACATAGTACTATTAATATATAATAATATATATTTTCAACGACAACGACAAGCAATTCTAGTAGCCCTATCGTCCGACAGATTTGAGTGTACTTTTTAGATGCATGGGTTAATAGCCAGTACTTTATATTATAAACCACGAACTTTTAAATTTATTATTTTAACTTGATGTCAAACGCGCATGCTTAAAACAGCATTGTTAACGTTCTTTATTTTTTTTTTTTTTTTTTTTTTTTTAACATCTTCACTTCCAACAAGGCTGCAAGCAACCACTATAAGAGTTGGAAGTTACTGGAAGAGAAAAGACTAAATCTGTAGAGCAAGATAACGATTGACTGATGACTTAAAAGATTGCAAATTATATGAATCAGGAAAGCAAGATGAAAGAAGCGAATTCCAAAGAACTGATGTTCGAGGAAAAAAACTAGAAGAATAAGAGTTTTTGAAGCACTTAGGAACAGTCACAGAAAAAGGATGAGACTTAATTGAATGGCGAGTGACACGAGAATGAATTTTAGTAGATGGCACAAGGGACGCTAGCTCTTTAGAGCAGTGCCCATTATAGTATTTGTAGAAAAGAGAAAGAGAGGCAACATTACGACGATGTGACAAAGGTTGGAGATTGGCTGCCAGAGCAGGTCCAACTATGTTTACAATTCGTTTTTGCACCTTGTCTAAAAGAGAAAGAGCATCATTAGAAGATCAGCCCCAGATGTGGCAACAGTATTCCATACAGGGACGGATTTGAGATTTATAGAGATAGAGAATAGAATCTGGAGTAAGAAAGTGTCGAGCTCGATAAAGAGATGCAACCTTAGCAGATGCTAATTTTGCAATGGATTTGATATACGGTTTAAAAGAAAGATCAGAAGTAAGAGTTAATCCTAGAAGATGAATGGTAGATGACTCATCTAGTACATTACCATTCATAAATATAGGAAGATCTAAATTATTACGATAACGATTGGCCGAATAAAATTGAGTTTTATCTGAATTAAAGTTCACCAGCCACTGTGAGCCCTATGCTGTAGCAGAAGTGAGATCCTTTTCAAGCTCAGATACCCCCTCCAAGCAATCAGAGAGTGTAGGCTTCTTATCATGACAAGAGTAAATGGTAGTGTCGTCAGCGAATAATGCCACCTTAGATGTGAGAATATCTGGAAGATCGTTAATGTAAATTAAAAAGAGTATAGGGCCAAGGATTGAACCTTGAGGAACCCCTGAAGTTACAGGATGTGAAGAAGAGTGTTGTCCATCGAGGACAACTTTTATACTACGATTGGAAAGAAAGGACTCAATAATCTTAAAGACGTTACCAGCTACACCATAAGAAGAAAGCTTATGGAGAAGACCAGCATGCCAAACTTTATCAAAAGCTTTAGAAATGTCAAGTGCGATAGCCTTAACCTCTCCACCTCTATCTAATGCACGGTAAAACCTATCGATTATTACTGTTAGCACATCAGCTGTAGAACGAGAAGACCGAAATCCATATTGATGATCAGAAAGTAAGTTATTTGATTCAAGATGAGAGATTAAGTGCTTGTTGATTAAAGATTCAAAAAACTTGCTTATGACAGAAAGAAGACTAATGGGACGGTAGTTAGATGAATCAGATCGCTCTCCGGAATTTTTGAAAATAGGGATAACAGATGCTGCTTTCCAGCATGATGGAAAACGAGACTCTGATAAGCACTTGTTAAATAGTTTAGAAAGTATGGATGAAAGCTCCGGAGAACACCTCTGCAAGACTACAACAGGAATGTTGTCAGGACCACAAGCTGTTGAAGAGTCTAAGCAGGAAATTACTTTAGATACAGAAGCTGAAGTGATGCGAATGTCAAGCAAGGGATCAACCTGTTTGACGGCTATGTCAGGTAAAACGCAACTA